AAATTGCTGCGGACACATCAAAGCAGCGTGGATGGATGTTGTGGTGCATGGGGTTATCGCTGATGCATGGATGTTGTGATGGCGTGATAGAAAGGATGGCGTGACGTAGCGGGTTGGTGAATCGTTGGAAAGGATGGCACGAGGTATCGGATGGAAAGGATGGCACGAAGTAGCGGGCGGGTGGGTCTTTTGGAAAGATGGCGCGAGGTATCGGATGGGTGAATAGGCTGGCGTGAAGAATGGGATGGATGGATGGTCTACTGGTCTCATGCAAATTAAGCGCGTCCGGATGGCTTCTTTTACTCAAGTTCATATACGAGTACATTTAATCTTCTTTAAGCACGGGGTAGGGTTGGCGGGACGGACCGCACCTGCTCAAAACCGCGCTGGCACGTGGAGTGTCCTCGAAATTCTGGCCGCGAACAACGACCCTGTGGGTGTTTTCGGCGCGTCGTGATGCCGGCGCGTGGGGCATTCTCAAAATCTTTTTTGGAATCGACGACCCTGTCAGTGTTTTCGGTGCGTGACAGCGCTGGCGCGTGGATCTTCCTGCGAATCCTGTTCGAAATCGGCGACCCTCACGCTGTGTTGGCTGGCCGCGTGTGGAGCCCGGGTATATGTAAGTAAATGGAATGCTGCTTGCTGGCCATTCCCGCAAGCGCGGCGAAGGGTCCCTCGCCGGATGAGGTCTTCGTTGAGGTTGTCGCTATCGTCGTTGCGTGATGGATGTTGTGATGCATGGCGTTATCGTTGATGGATGGATGGATGTCGTGATGTTTGTTTTACTAAATCTGCGCTTATTCACTCCGCCAAAACGTTTTCGGGACAACCGTTCTGTATTTTTTGTTGTTTTTGGTGGCTTCGAGGCCTTCTAAGTTGTTTCTGGTTTTGGGTGGTTTTCAAGCATCACAGGGCTTCCAGAATTTTCCTGCCAGGGTGCAAGAGCCGGCGCGGGCCAAGGAAATCTTTAGACCTCTTACTTTCAAGCATTAACAGCACACACGCAGACCAACCCTGTTTTGACTGGCTTGCCGATCTTTGATTTGGAAAAAGCTGCATCATGCATACCCATTGTCATCCACCATGCTTGACCTCAAGGACAGTCCCTGTGTGAAAGCAGGGCTCCCTGCTGAACCTCACAACAAGTGGGGCGCAGAATAGGCTTACATTTTTTGATACAAGCCCCCTAACTAGGCACCCGCAAGCAGGGCCTCAAGTGCCTGGTTCTGAAACCTGCAGTGCGTTAGAAGGAAGCGTAATGAGGCTAAGCCTAAAACCGTCTGCATGTCACCTGACACGTCCGTAGCACAGCTTGAGGAAGCTCGCTTAGTTGTGTTTTTTCCGCGTACTTGTAGCTTTTGCCATTTTTTGTGAATTTCGTTAGTTGTGATTTTTCTTTGCTTACCCATGACTTTTTCCGGGCAGTTTCCCCAGGAAGGACACCAACACCCCTGCTTACCTGCAACGTTTTTGGCCTCACAACTGCAAATACCGTGAACTACCGCATTTCAGGTCCTGTAGAAGCTGCAAGCCTTGTAGATTACAGCATTCGGAAGGGATTTGGTTTAGGGTTCGACCCTTTTATTTCAAATGCTACAACTTGCAACAGTTTCGCCATGGTGAAGGCTGGAAGCTTCAGATGCAGATGCTGCGGCATAATGCCAGAACAATAATCGCTAGATGGGCACCCACCACCTAAAAACTGAAGTTAATGATCAGAACAATTACACCTGCATCATGTCGGGCCCTGCATAAGCTGCAAATGTTGTAAATCCGCCGACCCCCGGCCTCTGGCGTTTGCAGCAAGACTCTACCCACCCCGCTCCCAAGGTTCGCGAGAATCAGGTGACTGTTTAGGGGTTTAGCCAGGGCCCTAGAAGGGTTGGCCCCCCAATTCGAGATTGGCTGCGTGCAATTTCACCATTTTTGGATGAGTAGGCAACGGTTTTAGAGATTTCGGCCTCATTGACCAACGACCAAGTCCTTGTTTTTGGCTGGGGACTTGGCAGCCTTTCCCACCACCTCTACAACCCCTGCCATGCCCCAACCACGTTCCTTCGCAGGCAGTGACAGGAGGCTGCCCAGAACTTGCGCTGGACCCAGAAGAGGCTGCCGCCGCCGCGGTAGCGTGTGCCCTGGGCTGGTTCGAGTGGGAAGGTTGGGCGCCCGGCTGCACTTGCTGCTTGGTGGGGTTGCGAAGGCATGCAAAGGCTCCCTGGACTGAACACAAGCGCTCGGCTGCGGCCCACGTGAGCGTGGCAAGGTCCATCGTCTGGCTTTGGCAAACATTTGGGGGTGAAGAAGTAATGAAAGCAGGTAACCGATTTGCTATGCAGGTGCCCGGTGCTGTTGTATAATTATTTCGTACCCCCTAGACCTACCTAAAGCTTCTATTTGTCCTTAGAAAGCCTTAGTTTTGACAAAAACAAAGCTCGGTGACATGATGATATCTTGTCAAAAGCTCCATTCAAACTTGGATGCTTCCTACAATTACTGCCAAACAGCGCCGTGAGCCCTTTTGAGTACGCTGAGGAGGGATTCGCAGAAATATTACCGAAAAGTCTTTCTACTAGCGCTGCTGTGTACAGAATTATGATTTAGGATGCTGACTCATGCAACAAAGTCAGCCACACCGAAAGTGCATCCTTGCTGCACTGAGGAAGGTCCTTAGCCCCTTTTTTCTGCTTCAGGACGTTAACAGCCGGTTGGGCTTGGTACACTGCAAGCCAGCTCGAAACAGAAGCATCCTGTGCATCCTTCCAGCTGTACAACTACAAACAATTACAAGATCCCGCCAGGGTGTCAGCTTCACACTTCTTGAAAACACCCTCGCAAACACTCTTCACAGCCTTCATGCCAAAGACTTCGTCAATGCTGAAGTCTGCTAAAAGAGCTAAGCATCGCCAGCTTCTGGGCAGGTTGAACAGACCGCCATGGCGCAAGATTCATATAAGCAATATCTATTGGATCTCTTGGAGATCCACAGACACCTGCAGTGGACGTAAGAAAAGGCGCCAGGAAACCAGCTTGCTTGAAAGAAAGACTTCTCAGGAGCTGGGTTCTTACGTCTCTGCCGAAGCGCAGGGCTACAAACTAGCTCGCACCATTGTGCATGTGCTCGGGGCTTGTTAAGCCCAATTGACATCGAAAACTGCAGCGTCCTGCTGGGAAGATAGTTAGATACCTGCCAGGGGCACCCAACTCCTGCATCAAGTGTTACAATTTGCCCCAGCCCATGGGGCCCATGGTATCAGAAGGGAACTCGCGCCAACAGGTGGCCAATGCAAAAGGCTATCGTGACTTCGAACGTAGTGGCAACAACTAAGCCCAACATGCCGAGATACGCTGATGCACGTCACATGAACACCCTCTTTCACTGCACATGTAGCACAAGTCACGTTCCAGGCCCTGCCTGCTGCACAGATTGCGGTACCTCAGCTGATGAGGGGCCTGAGGAGGACCTTGAGACACTCTCAGAGCTTGCCAGCCTCAGACTTTCACGCTTCAAAACAATGCCAGGAAGCTCAGTGACATCACCTCGGCTGCAGCGCACTCTCACCCTTAACTTGTTTTGAATCCCAACCTTCACCGCAGTTCCACAAACAAATGCACTACAAAAAGTTCAAAGTCTCTTATCAAGGAGCCAAAAGCCAGCACATAGATGAAAAACACATAGCAGAAGGTTGCTGCTGCTTTGATCACTGTGAGGCCCCACATTTGGCAGTTCGGTGAATTGTAGCAGAGCGCAACTCTGTACTGGTACAGCGTCAGCTGGACCTTCTCCTTGGCAAAGGTACATCAAAACTCAGGAGACACGGAGGTCTCCCTTCTGCAGTGGGCCTAGAGAGGCATTTAGGGACCAAAAGGATGCCCACAGCCTGGTATTTGTTGCACGCCGAGCGTCCTTGAACTTAAATGAGGAGAATCCAGAAAACAGGATTGCGGGAATCTGCAAGATGTAGGTCAGGGTCAGCAGCGGGATGATGAGGGATCCCATTGTGTGAGTCAACATGAACATTTTCCCACCTGCCAGAATGCAGATGACGCACCGTTGGGATTGCAAATGCCATGTTTGAAGTAGCGTGGGGTGACCCAAAACCCTAAACCCTACATGCCACAGTCAAGGTCCGTTGCATGTTCCATGAGGCTGCCTGTCCACATCAAGAAGCTGGTGCAAACCAATTCTTGGTTGGCATGCGAGCCATGAAAGTCCGGGTGTATTTAGGTGCAAATGCACAATTAGCCTCAGCAGGCTAAGGCAATCCAGTCCTAACTTCCAGCCAAGCATCTTGGAATTATAACAAGAACGATGCAGGCAATCTTCATCATCAAACTCAGAAGCATTCACGTCTTGAGCAGTCTGTTTATCGGCACAACACTCGTGCTTCTTCCTTCCACTGGGTTCCGTACCTCATGTTGGCAACCAGCATCTTTCCATCATCGGTCCTCTCCTCGTACGAATCAGACCCAAAAGCAACTTCCGCATGCTTAGACACGACTTTTTGTCAACATCCGTCTGCTTCACTCCATCGCACGCTGTAGAAGCGGTGCTACTATTACTTTTGCTACGACGACGACGACGACGACCACGACGACGTCGACGACGACGACGACGACTACTACTACTATTACTACTATTACTACTACTACTACTACTACTACTACCACCACCACCACCACCACCACCACCACTACTATTACTAGTACTAATACTAGTACTAATACGGTTACTAGTACTATTACTGTTACAATTACTGTTACTGTTACTATTACTTTTATTATCTTTATCACCTGTGGCTCCTCAAGAAACTGAAAGCCCACGGCGGCGGGCTCCGCTATCAAGCTCAGGATGGTCCCGCTATTCAGCAGCTCTGAAACCTGAGCCAACACACGCTATAACCCCTATATTTACTAATATAATATGTACTATTAGAGGGTTTAGGGTTTAGGGTTTGGGAAACCTGAGCTAACACACTATTAAACCCCTATATACCCCCCATATTATACAGCAGTGTCCATCTTATTGTCCATTTCCATGTTATTTCCTTTATCCCTACATTATATAACCCCTATGTAACCCCTACAACCCAATTATGCATTTCAAAGGTCATTGCAGTAAGTACAGAGCATGCTGTCTGATGCTGTCTGAGTTCAAGCAGCCTCCGCTACCATCCGCGCACCCCAGAGTGACAGCACCTGCATCAAGCGAAATGAGGCATCTGCTAGCGCGTTCTTAGATCTGCGCACCATCAGATGCGTCAGTCCAAGAGAGTGCTGCTTCATGCAGAGGTCCAGCGCATCCTTCTGCACCGGGTCCTCCTATACTGCACGAAGCTGCTGCATCCCTTCTTGCACTCTTCCCACACCAATGCACCAGAAAAACTGTCCCTGGCCTCCGAGAGCGGCAGGGGTGGCTCATGGCCAAGTGCATGCAGAATTGCCTGCAACAGGAGCACCGCAAGTTCACATCTGAAAGTCTGCGAGACACGGCACTGAGGTTCGTCAAGTCCCACAGCATGGCTCAAGCCCATTGGCACCTGCAACTTGTCGGTGATGCCACTGCTAAATGGAGCCGCTAACCCATCCACTGTGGTGAAGTACAGGTGATAAGTCCTCAGCTGTGGGTGACACTGCGATTCCTCAGCAGGCTGTCCAATCCCGACTCGCAGCATTTAGCCGCAATGCAGCCGGTGTCAAGCGGCCCAAGTCAAGGCCCAGGAGCAAGCCATATTGTAAAATCAAAGAGGCCGCATGAAGCCTCTTGCGTGGAGACGTGTCATTTCTAATTCAATGGACTCTCCAAGCAGCATACGCTAACAGCTGCCAGGCGGCCACAGCACTAAGACCAGCTGCAGCACCTGGTAGATATCACATGCCATCTCGCAGCTGCAAACTTTCAGCAACAGTAGCACATTAACAGTAGCACTTGCAATCCAGCTGCTTCATGCGTTGTGTCCTGCCGTCAACAACTGCGAATTTACAGGGACTTCTCACAGCCTCCGGGCTGTTCTCAGAACGGAGCACCTGCTGCACTTTACCCTTCGTTTGTTCGAACGTGCGCAAGTCCCAGACAAAGAATAGCAAAAAAGCTCTACGGGCACAATCTAAGAAGATCTTGCTAGTACAAGCAAGGACAGGAAGAGGTAAACCAACCTGCTCTCTGCCATTGCAAGAAGCTACCAGCCTGCTAAGCAGAAGTGAACCGAGGGGACCGTGTGCTTCCGACAAAAATTCAGTCGAAATATGGCATCGAAACATTAAAAATTGACCGTCACTGAGCAAAAGAGTCCTCTGTGTACACGGTATCTGAGAACATCTGATCTCGGGTTCGAACCTGGGTCGCTGTCTGTGGGGCTGCTGATGGTCTTATGCTGCCACGTTGTTCACGCAAACGACAATGCTCAGAGCGAAGGATAATCTTAGACTTAGAGTACGCAGCTGCTTTGTTCTAATTGGTATGTTGAGGTCTGTCTGAATGAATGTATGGGGTTTCCGTAAACAGGGGTTCAAAAATAGATCCTAATTAATATAATAACTTACAATGAGCCTTCTTGCGGCTACTCCTAAAAGGGAAAAACTGGGAGTGTCAGGGGCTGGCTTGCTGCAATTCTCTATGAACCGCTGCAGGCTGCTTACAACCACGTCTGAATGGCACTGTACTGATTGTTCGCATGCAGTAGCAGAAGAGGGGATCTGATGTTGGCCCAAACCTCGTAATCGCGTGGCCCGGTAGTTCAGTGCGTCCTTTGGATTTGGTGTTTCATCTGACCCGGCCGAGAAACAATGGTTCCTTGAGAACGCAACAGTGACACCCTGCCTATCATGGTTCATGAATATGCAACTCTAGCAGCTCGAAGTACTGCTGCCAAGTCTGAGTCTCACACCATTGCCAGTATAAGGCCATCGCCCGTGTGTTGCTGCATCGGAAACGTGGAGACGCGATCCTGGACCTGGTGGCTTCAAGGAACAGGCCGCAGGTCTGTTGTGTGGCGAGCAAGTTTGCGATCTCTCTCGCTGCTGAGGCGCTATACTCCACAGCCTGCGGAACGATTTTTTGACCTTAACACCTGATGCCGAGGAAACATCTGAGGCCATACTCCTCGTTCGATACGCTGCAGCTGCGCTGAAGTCGGACTCGCCCGTCGGCACGGGCTTAACCACGTCAGTTTCATCTGTCTTTGCAGGTTCCTGTGAGGTGTCGTTCAAGATGCCTTCTGCATCCGACTCTGTCACCAAGAGGGGTCGAACGCTTGACATGGCGAAGCCACAACAACTTGGTAGAGATATGTAGAGATGAACTGATGCTTTTGTGCAGATGCTGATTGCTTCGGTAGGATGTCCTGAACCTGTGGCATGAAGGCTTTGGCAGTGGTTTGGCAGGAAAGTCCGCTGAGAGTGTTCTGGCAGCTGGCGCCGCTCTTGGATGACCTGCAGGACTGTATGGTCGCCTGCCCTACGCTCCTCCCGTAAATCAGCCTGTGTGTGGCTGCCTAACATGACCATTCCCCATGAGCTCAAACAGCTGCCGATGCTGACTATTCTCCGCGAATTGCTGTTCCGTACTTCACTGATGCTTCCGAGGGCATCCACGCTGTTTTTCGCTGAGGAAGCGTGAACAAAAGTGAGTATAAAATCTAGAGTCCAGAGCTAAGCAACTCGGGGGTTGCATGAAAATCGTTAAACCTACGCACTAACCTGGGCAACCACCACACTAAGAGATCTCACATACTACGTGGAATCGAAGGCTGCAACCTTTCCATTCATGCAGCCTGCTGCGACCAACAGGTGCCTTGGCTTGAAGGGCCAGATGGGCCAAGGCTCAATCAGGTGAAGCAACTCTGTAGTTGTACTTAAAAGCAGGCTGTGTCCAGGCTCCCTGCCCCTTCCCAGTCTCCGTGCAGTGCAGCGAGGTGATGGGGGAGCCCAGAGACCAGGAAGCCACAGCCTTGTGCGTAGTGCGAGAATTGGGAAAACTGAAACAATCTCAAGCCTTGATAACCTGCCTTGGGCTTGTGGTCTGGCCCGTCAGCAAAACATCTGGTGTCGTACCTGGTCCCAATTTTGGACTGCAAGATTTTCTGATGGCTTCAGTAACTGGCTCACTGCATCAGCTCACCGCCGATGCCAGCAAACAGCATAGGGCTCGTCCAGTTCAGGACCGTGACCTTACTGACTTGGAGGTCTCCTACCTTTTGGGCCTGTGTTTGGTCTGTGTTGGATCCTTTGCTCCGGCCCTGGCCTTGCCCACAGACTCTTTTGTGTACTGCTGCCGGATGACTTTACCTTGCCCAAGCAGTTTGGCACCACGGCCATTGAAATTTCAGAAACAGCGCAAGTAGTCTTCACGAAAAGGCCTGCCCGGATGTCTATGTAGCCGATGCCGCTGGAATGCGAGCAGACCTGTGTGATCAAAGAATTTCACGTAGCCCTGGCAAGAGAAAACCCCAAGGGCGCACCATGACCCCTGATTCTGGCCACATGGCCAAACCCGAGAGCCAACCAGCAGCCTGACCTGGCTAGGGTGCAAAGCACTGCAAAGCACGGTGACGTCTCCCATACACACAAACTCAAGCAAGCCAAAGCGTGCACGGTCTAATGCATTTCTGCCGCTGGCACAAAGAGGGCAGGCTTGCTGTTGAAGTCGGAGACCACGCCCTTGCCGCTGGCATTCACCTGTCCGGCTCAGAAGCAGCCGCTGCATTAGCGGTATGATGTACATTGACAAACATCTGGCACAGCCCTGAGGCGCCAACATCCCAGCACCGCAGATTGCCGCCATTGTCACCCGTCCAAATCTTGTTGAGTGTCTCATGCTGCATAGCCTGCAGCCAGGGTTGGGAATGTTTTCTCCCAGCAAGAAGACATGATGCGTTCAGTGGTACACCGCAAAAATGAGTGAATTCTGTGGCTGTCGCGTTCACATCTCCGACACCTTCATGTGGGTCGGCTTGTTGCCAGACCGCAGGAACTTGGAGACTTACGCCGTCCACTCCGATTTTGGACACTGCCAGGATGTCCTGCACTGGACATGGGCTGGACATGGGACCATCTGATGACTTCTTGAAACAGTTGGACACCTTGGAGACAGTAGCCGCCACGTGAGGCGTTGCCTCACGATTCTCTGGCTTGGGCCAGAGGCTGATGCACCGAACACCTCGGCCAGTCGCCAGCTTTGCCTTGTCCTCTGAGCTCAGACGAGGACCGATCCGCGATAGTGCAGGTAGACCATGGTGGACCTGCTGCGTTCAAGCATTCTCTAAGACCTGCCGCGAAGAGTTGGAACACCGACGTCTAAGCCCATGACTGCTCCAGATATCCACCATCTTCATCTTTGACAAAATCGAGCTCTTCATCGTCTTTCCTGTGACAGGCATAGTAAAGACCCTGATTGTACAAGCACAAGAGTTAGACACTAAGGGCTGGCTTTGCCACGAGCGCCGTCGATCCATTGCCATCCCGTCCAGAATCGCCTCAAAAATCAGGTTCGCAGACTTCTCACTTTGGGCGAACATCTGAAACAACATCTACACGAAACCACTCCAGGTCGTGCATGCTGTAAGACTTGTGCCTCCTGTGACGGCCTGGCGAGAGGTCCAAGCTTGTGAGAGTTTGGCGTACTCGGGCACATAATTTGCAGGCCTTCGGCTTTGCATTGGGATCATCCGCCTTGGAGGCTTGTGCTGCACAGCTGAAGCTTGGCAGCGCATCAAAACACCTGATGGACCAGCAACCAAGCCAGAAGCTATGGCATTTGTCTTCGCTCGTGCCTAAGTTTTGAAGTCTTTGCTGTTGCACCAACTCCAAGGCTGGTGGAGGACTTGGTTTCCGGCGATAGGCCTGCAGAGCTGCGTTTTTCCAAATGCGCAAGGTACAAAGTTAACTGCGTTGTGTGCAGAACCACGAGCATGCACCAGCTTTCTCCCCCCTTCTGGGTGTGAGGCTACTCTTTGGACCATCGCGAGTGAAGAGTTGCTTGCCAGGAATGATTGACAAGTGATTCCGAGTCCCATTACATTGTAGAAGTGCTGGGCTCAAACGGATTGCCCATCGAGGCAACCTCACAGACGCGGCGTCGGCATGCAAGTTGTGGATAGGTGTTTTGAGCACTCCCATTTCCAGCAAACCCATGCAAACCCCTCAGGCCCCTCCTCGGGTAAATTTCTGAACCAGAAGGCTTAACATGGTCTGAAGCCTGAAGCCATGAGAGGTCAGGCCAGAGCTTCATGTCTGCCAGGGCTGCGCATACCCAGCACACCTGCAGAGGCCACCTACAGCCCCTGATCCCTTCATCTGCAAAACCCGCTTCATTCTTTTGCCTTCCCCTTGATGCATTGTGCCCACCGCCTTGCCAGCTGATTCCTCATGAAACGAACCCGGATGCAAACCAGCCTGAATGGAGTCGTCTTGAGGTTCCACGTCCTTCAGGAACCACAGAGCAGACAGATGCAACGAAGCCTCAGATGCGGCCTCAGAGACTCGCCAGGCAACGGTTTCATCCCAGCTGATTGGGCCTGGCTTAAAATCTTAGGAGGAAAAAGCTTTGAATTCAACCATGTGGGTGCAGCCGTCAGGAGGCCGAAGGGTGAGATCGCAGCCACATCATTGATGAAGCCGCCGACAGCCTCTTCGAAGACTTCAAGGGAGCTAGAGGCCGCTACAGATGAGTCACTGAGGGCACAGCTATTTCGCCCACAAGCCGCGGAGGCGGTTTGGTCCTTTGCAGATGTTGATTTCTGTACGTTCAAAACGGTGACAGGGTCTTGCGGGCTCCGTGCTTTCCTGGCTCTCCTTTTGAGAGCTCCCAGCACCGCACCTCAAAACGTCTCCGCACATCTCGAGTTGGCTCCGTTTGAAACAGCATCACATAGCATTGCTGTGCCCACAAGAAACTAGAGCTTAATTGCTGAGCGCTTGGCCACACCCTCTTGCCAGGACCTGACATGTCAGGCGGGCGGAAGCTACTTTCCTGCTGTCACCGTGCCGTGCGCCAGGCCCCGTGTAGAGCCTGCGACTCTCCCATGGCGGGGTCCTCAAGAGATGTTTGCGCACTGGCTGGAAGCTCCGGCAAAGCAGACTGTGAGATGCTGAGGCTGCTGCCCGAAGGTGTCGAACAGCATGCAGGTGATTCCCTCCATGATCCACAAGAGAAAGTCCATGCACATGCTCAGGAAGCCAAACATTGCCTGCCTTCGTAGCGGTCGGAGCCTTAGCATGCACCAAGCTTCGTAAGGTCCGCACTTGAATCCATGCAGGAAAGCAACGTGTCCCTGCCAAGGACCCACAGCTTGTCCTGGACGTCATGTGGCAGTCAAGCCTTTCCAAAAAGCTTCTCGAACGTTGTAGACAGTCCTTCCAAGTCCCTCCAGCCACCTTCTTCAGTCTTGGCCTATTCGGTATAGGGGTTACTTTCTTGATGAAAGGTGTTCATCAGATGAAGGCATCACCGCGGCCTCCGTCAATGCCTTGTATGCCGTTGCAATGGCTTTGAAGACAACATCGTCACCGCCTGTCGGACGTGAAGCTACACACAAGAGCTCAGTCCAGTTAAGCTGGGCCAGTACTTTGGACTTCAATGCCTTTATCTGGTACAAGTACAGCCCGGCCTTTGTCCGGGTGGTGCAGCAGAGCGAGGCAATGGTAAGCGCGCCTTGCATGAAAGAATGCCCCTTGCTGTGCCTTACACCGAGACTTGAGGCGCGGAGCCGAACGGCTGCGCTGCTGGCACCCGGCTGCAGGCCCAACACCTCAGCCATGCATCGATTGGGTGCCTTCAATGTGCCCTTCATAACTTCATGGCCCCAACCGTGTAGGGCTTGCCCAGAGATGCCAGGATCTTCTGAGAGGAGATTCGTCCTTACAGCCAACAGGTGCGCTTGCAGCTTTCGACCAAACATCCCAACGGCTGCCAAAGTGCGAACTTCATCCTCGCTCTTAGCAGCCTCCCAGGGCCAGCAGAGATGCTTCACAAATGCTCAGACGTCTTGGGCTCGCACAGACGAGTCTGCTTCGACGCCAAGGACCTGCCACTTGTCGAAGCCTTGCACCAATCCATTCGCTAAGGCTTGGCGCGCACACAACTTTGGGGCTGAATCCACCAGTGCTTGCAGCTTCGTTAGCTGGTAGCATCTGTTAGCAAAGCAGTGCCAAATGCATTTTCTGTCCCTCGCGCACGTAGCATTCGGGAACCTTTCATGGTAAATCAGATGGCACCGCAGGCCTCTCGCACCCAGCAGAATCTGCTGCTGGTCTGAACTGCTCTGCTGCGTTTGGCTCGGTTGTTGTCATGCAGTCATCGCATGAAGTACGTGTTCCCCTCCGCACCGCCCTCTCAGCTTGCACGGTTCGGCAAAACCTGGACTCAAGCCTCACAGAGGAGCACGGGAAACGCATAAAACTGTATTTCTGTGTTGATTGCCATTCTTGGGTCATGCCCTCAGCCCTGCAGCCCCTGCACGTCGCACTGTCGTCTGCGGGGCAGTTGCGCTTCATGGATATGCCGTTCATGCACTTTGCAGGCCCAGCTGGGGAAAGCTCCCATGATCTGCTCGACAGGTACGCGGGATGTGAACGCCAGCCAGAGTCGAGATCTCATTGAACATCATTGAACAGTGCAGTCTGGAGGCTCTCCTCCTGGTTGGGTGTAGAACATGATATACTCGGGATAGACCTCACGGGAACTCCTAATGTGGCAAAGCTGAAGAGCAAGCAGGCTTAAATCCTGTCCTGGCCTGGGCGACATCAAAGACGATGAACTCCTTGTTTGTGCCATCTGCACAGCCGGTGACAGACGTGTGTTCCGTCCCGGCCACACGCTCGTGGGCTTTCATGTCCGTCTTGGGCAGCTCCAGGACATTCCCGAGAACAACCCGACAGAGCATGATCACACGAAGGCCACTCTTGTTCTTCACCGTGTACTCGTGGCTTTTCTTGGCCCGGTCTGCAAAATACACGCCCTTTCCAAACAGCGCGCCGTGAGCCGAGCCACCGATACCACTTTCAGGCAGCCGGAAGTGGCTGCTGCAAATTGCTCTGGCGGCGGCCTCACTCGTTCCGTGGAACAGCCTCGCAAAAAAATCGGAGAACCAAGGCGGCAACAAACTGAGCACAACTGCAGACAAGGCACCACACCTCGTTCACCGTCTTGTCCAACCTGGCAAAGATGCACTTGCGAACCATCTGTCCAGGTTAGGCTGAAAATTTATGCTGAAAATTTGAATTTCCCGTTCACCGTGCCCACTTCCGGAGAAGCTTGGTTCACACATAGCTCGGCAACCAGAAAAAGTGTCAGACAGCAGGCAGGCCACACCCAACCTGCATGGGGCCTGGCTAGAATCCAGTGAACTTACAGGGTAGGAAACAAGCCGCCGGAGGAACGTGCTGAGGGCAGAGTACGGCAGCTCCTCGGGAATCCAGAAAGAAACTGCAGAAGAGACCATCAACAACCTTGAAAAGCGAGGCTCCTCGTAAGTTTCCGGCTTGAAAGCCAGAACTGGCGGCTGCTGCGCGCGGATCTCTGCCCTACGCTTGGAATACGTCTCCTGAGGACTTTGAACACGATGGCTTGATCTATGAGTGATAAAATCTGCCAAGGAGCCCAAAGAATGGAATCCTCAGCTCGGACGCACTTGACCACTCGTCTTGTTGGCAACGACTTTTGGATCAGCCTCGGCTGTGTGACGGTAAGCTGCTGGGGGAAATAGATGGAAATAGCTGGTTCACAAGATTATTGCTTCATCAATAATCACACCCCGCACGTCGGGCTACAGAACGATATTCTCTGTGAAACATTAGAACGGGAGCTCTATGTTCCACAGCCATTCGGAGAAAACACGCTGACCAAGCAGTCAGTATGAGAAACGACAAATATCAGAGGTGTCAGCAAGAGCTGGCGGCCAACTTAAAATGCGCGTTAGCAAAAGCTAGCCACTGTCATCAGCATCCGGATCGCGTCACTCCTGTGCGCCAAGAGCTGTGTGCACCAGACTGCGCTGCGTCCGGCAAGTTTTTTTTGTTGCGCCGCTTCACTGCCATCTCCTTCTGCCTGGTCGACCTGGTGGCCAGTGAACCCCACGACCTCAGCATCCTGCCCTGATGCTTGTCCGATCCTGTCCGGGATATAGTCGGCTCGGAGCAGCTTCGTTTTAAAACTTCTGGACCGTGTTGAGCGCGGCTAGAGACCCGCTCATATTTCAGCGCCTTTGTTCGGTTTTGGAAGCCGGATGCCGGGGTGTCTGTGCGTGTACTCAACAAACAGCCTCCGGGTTGGAGAACGTGTGGTAGTCTGCCCAATTCCGGCCCAGTACTCTTCACCCGCGGAACTTGGCAGACTACTCACATGAACCGGCCCGGAGGCTGTTGGGTACATGGCTTCGGGTACATTCTACCAGCATCCCGCCCTATGATTTTTGCGAAGAAGCCCTTGCCTCGTAACCCTCTTCGCCAGGCGCCGGCATCAAGCCGGCACCGTCTGCCTCTCTGAATTCCTGGAAACGCCTTCACATGCCTTCACCAGCAACCAAGCGGAGTAGCTGGCGGCAACTCTGTGTCTGACCTTGCCTGTTCCGGTGTGTAGGGCGGTACCTCTGTACTTGAACTTGCCTGTTGCGGTGTGTACGTAGGGCATGGACGGGCAGAGCTTTGCACTCGCCACGGCGGGCTTCACATAACTCGCGCTGGTGCAGTGCTGCTTGCGGTCGTCTGTTCTGCTCTTGCAGCGCATTCTGCAAAAGAGACTACTCTACGGTCCGACCTCACTCCTCAACCAGCTGCCGCCAGTACTGCTGTTGGGACTAGCGGAGCTCCTCAAGGCTCACCTGCGCTAGCTGTAACTGCTCAGCTACTCGCAGGCGCCTGTCCTTGGCCTCGCGCTTCACACGCTCAACCTCAGGCGAGGTGGCCTTGGGAGGCGCGACCACTGCACCCCCACGCTGCAGCCACCAGGTTGGCACAAAGGGAGGCTGTGCAGCCCCAGCCGTGGGGGCCTGAAGGGCTGGCCTGCTGTCTTAGGCAGACTCACGCGCAGCGGCTTGCGCGACATGGCTTCGCGAAAGAAGACATCTCAAACTCTTGAGTCTGAACCCTGATGACATCCTGCAAGCTTGTGCCACCTCACATCCCGGCAGCTTGGATATCTTGCATTGCCAGCTTGGAGTACGGGCCACAAGCCAGGTTTACATTGAAGCAACAAGTATTGAAGCCAAAGGGCTTGGTGCCCAGATCCTGCACGTACTGGCCTTCCACTTCATTGTGAAAGGAATCCTGCAAATGGACAGAAGGACTTTTGGTATGAGCTATTGGCTTCAACATCTAGGCAAGCAACAAGATGGCTGTCCATGCTGTGGTCGGCACGCCAATACCACGGGGGGTGCTGACCCTCGTTGTCCTCGATATCGCCTTACAAGCAACTTCGTTCGACTCTCAAGTTCTGATTTGCAATGTCCTTCGTGGCACTTAGTACTTACAAAGAAGGGCGTGCCTGGAATGCGCCTAGTCCTTGGGCAGTTGAGCACGATAATTCGAGGCAGCATGTGCTGCTTGCCCTTTGCTTACAACACTGCATCACTGCAGTAGGTGAATCTGAAACTTCAGCCAGTCTTACTTCCACTGACAGCATCTTCGAGCAAGCTAGGTCTCACCTTGGAGTTGCCGACTCCGAGAATGTCAGACTAACTCAACTCCTCCAGCCTGAATGCCCGGAACAACCCCAACATTGCGGACACCCATGCGCACATCATTGCACATCAACACTTGGCTTTTGCCAGGTGCTTGTTGTCTGCCTGCTTACTTAGCTGCACAGCCGGGAGGCACGCACAATCATGCCCTGGCCAGCCGTATTTTGCAATCAAAAAGGGGCAGCCTCCAAGGAACACTTGTCACCAACGCGACAGGCCCCCCACTTAGCACTCAAATCGCAGGACACTGAAATTTCGGGATGCTGCAATGTCCATGAACTCTTTGCATACAAGCGGCTCTTGCAGCAAAACCTGAGCTCTACATGCGGCCACGCAGCTGTCAAAAAAATGTATCCTGAGGGCAGGGCTCGAGACCTGGCTGCAGCTTCCTGCCACAGCCTTCGGGACAGTGGCCCTCCGGGATGCTGTCTGGCCGCACCCAGGAACGCACTGGCACCTGATGCCAACATAGATGTCCAAAGATGCATTGCGGGGGCAGTAGAGCTTGAGCAAGCCCTAGCCCTGGCCATGCAAATCCATCAAGACCACAGCTTCTGCCAGGCGACGCCGTCGTCGGGGCCTCCGCCTACGATCAGAGGGGCTCACAGGCACAGACCGTGACATGCGGTACACTACAGCGCATTCCTCCACATCTGGAATTGCAGTCTCTGGAGTGGGAGCTGTCCGGTCCCGTACAGTGTGTGCAGCCTGAGACATGACAGCCAGGAAACCCACAGCCCGGTCGGCTACTTCGAGGCATGAGGAGTTGGCTGCAAATGACACTGCAAAAAATGCAGGTAAGGAGCAAGTGGAAAAGCGGCTGAATGCTGGGCGCCCACAATTTTTCTCACACGGCCGCACCGGCTCGGAGATCATGGCTATGGCCATAAGCAGCTTGATATTTTGTGATTGTTGCGCTACCCTGAAGGAATATGGACTTTGAAGTCCTTGCATCTATACAGCACCGCTTGGATCCAACCATTCCAAAGTTGAGACGGTCTGACCACGCATCGGCCAGCTGTTACTGCAAGCAAGACGACGTTTGTGCCCCAATCGAGGCTGGGGCTCTCATCCTTCGCAGCACTGGAGGTCTCATCGGCCTTCTCTCATGCAACACACGTCCAATCCGCTTCCACGAGCAGCCCCAGGCCTCATGCAGTGGCGACAGCAAGGCCTAGCGCCGCATATGCCGCATGCATAAGATAACGCAGACCGGGAGGACCGCCATTTGTAATCCGTATGCTGGGACCTTGCCAGACGCCTTGATGCTGACCCAGCCTTCCGTGCTTTAGCTGTCAATGTGTGCCTTTACTGCCGGCCCTTCCAGGCTCGACACCTTCTGTCGGCCCCTGACCTGGCAAGACAAAGCAGCACGCGGACTGAAGGAGCGGAAGGGACGCGAACCTCTGAGGAGCTTGTAGTGCAAGCGGTCCCCGGCCAAACGCAGCTCTTCCTGCCGCCCCAAAGCATTCCCTTTGAAGTGGGCGCTGCAAGAATGCCTTCTGAGCATCAGTCCACCAGGGCGCCAGTTTCAAGCCGCCGATCAAGCTGCGGGGACTTGAGCTCCTCCAGGATCCGACTCGTCAAGAACTCACTTTATCAGACCAAACTTCAACAGGCATGCAGCCTACCTCACGAGCCTTTTCTTTCCTTTTGCTCATACCAAGGAGTCTGCAACGCTGGAGGGCGTTGCGCATTACCGCTGCTGCCGGTAACTCCTGTCGATGGGAGGTGTGCAACTCGGCCCGACCCTGAAGGAAGCTCGGTGCGTCCGGTTCAGAGCAGGCGAGGCTTCCACTTCCCAAGCCACAATGTGTAGGAATCCTGTACATTGAAAGACAAGTACTTGGATTCCTACTAGACTGCTGTAATGAACCTGGAGCCCATCTCTATGAAGGGCCCCAGTTCACAAAACAAATCGCTTGTCTTTCGGGGTCGGCTGCAGGTGCGCAATTCACTCAACCGCAGCCGCCCAGGAACCATGGCTTGAAACACAGAGGCTTCAAAAAATCCTGTGCTTACTTAAATGTCAAACGTGTTGAGATCCAGCGGGCTTCAGCCCTTCCACACCTGTCCGATAAGGCATGGAACGGCATTGCCGGCTGAGAAAACGAAACGCCCGTACCCAATCGCCACGAACCATAGAATCCCAATTATACTATAGTAGTTTCCACTTTCTTTTCCATTATCCCTATAGAACCCCAATACATACCCTATTATACTGTAGTAATTGCCATTCCAAGGTGGCCTTGGACCACTGGGATCTTGGCGGTTCTTGATAGCTCATGGCCATGACTGTTAGTCTACATATCTTTCAGCTTCTGGCTTTCAAAAACTTGGGGCTCCTTGTTTGGACCAGAGTGATAGCATCATGGGGAAAAGAGAGGCAAAACAAAAAGAATTCAGAACAGTCATGCTCATGAAGCTCGGATCTCAAGTCTGCGATGTTACCACCATTTACTTCTTAGTGGGGTGACATCGTGCAACGTCCGCCTCAGGCAGCGCTTGCAATCTGAGGGTGTTCATAGGTAGGGTGCCCCAGTATGAGACCTCCAATAAACGATCGTAGTCCTTGCGAAAAGAAAAGTTTTTCAGGACTGTAGAATTCGCATCATCTCAATGGGCTAGATAAGCAGCTTGCTTACGAATGAGGAGGTTTAGAGCTGGTTGGCCAGTTTTGCCTTCTGGCCGGCAACGACATGACTATCATGCCGAGAGTCCCTGTTCATTCTCCAGGCATAACTTGGACTGTGTCTGAACCCCACACAGCGAAAACTTCTGTCTGCGGCTGCTTACAAAGCCTGATGACTGATGAAGTTGACTGCTGGAATGCAGCCAGGGGCTCCATGGTCAAATTTAGAAATGAATGGAAAAGAAAAAGTTAGGGGTCAATCCCTCTCAGAGCAGCTTCGCTCACGTTCCCTGCTTACGTTCCCTGACCGTCAAAGCATTATTCGCAAGACACAGCTCGTATGCAGCTTACAGTCTCATGCTGATGTTTCGATTAAAAGCATTCGCGCTAAGACGGGCAGGGTGCATGGAACTAAACACAAAGATATGTGCTAAAGTTTGTCCGCTACAAGAACTCTGAAGCAATTTCCAAAAAGACTCCCACCACAATTCTAGCACATACACACGGAGAAATGGCTCACAAGTGAGTACCAGCCGCTGGACACAGGTCATATTCCAAATATGTCACAGCTTCGGCTGGAGGCCGTTTGCCAAAAGAAGTGAGGCTTGACACGAAACTCCTTGGATGGGCCTACAGGAGGCTCATAAGGTTTGCAAGCTCAAACCGATACAGGAAATTCCGCTGAAGTAAGAAATTCTGGAAAAAGGAAGTCACAGCTTCCCGCTGCACCCGGTCGATGGTCACAAGTCGAATCTGTGTGACGTTAACCGCTTTTACTCGGTTTACCTCTGCCCTTCAGTACTGTTCCTTCGCCCGCTCAAGTTCGGTGACCTCGCGAAACAAGTTCCAGGCACAAGATCAGCTTGGCTCAATTAGCACTCAGCAGGCACCCTACTACCAAAGTTTTTTGCTTTGAGGGTTTGAAGGGATGAGGTGACTCCAAGTCTCAGGGCCTGTGCCAAGAGCTGCTCTTCGGCATCGGGCTGCTCCAGTCTGTCCACAACATGCACCAAGAGCACGTCGGGCACGGCCTTCAGCTTAGTCACTAGCATCAAGCCATCCACGAGCTCGCCCGTCTTCCGGCGTAGAGTCACAGAAAGAGCGTTTCTGCTGCGGAGATGCGAAGCACTTGAGGCCACCTCCAAGTAGAGCTCAAGCACAGGATCCACATGACCATTGCAAAGCAGACGAGCTGCATTCTTGCCCAACAGCTCCTGCTTAGAGTAGCCGAAGAGCTCCTCGAAAGAAGGCGAAACACTGACAAGGCCCATCTTGTCCACTTCAGGATGATTCAAAGCCAGCGCCGCAACGGCAACATGCGGGGAGGAGGACTCTATGATATTTTGAAGCCTGTTCTGTCTGAATGACAGTGAGTCCGCATCTTGCTGAACCGGGATGCCAGTAGCAGCTTGCAGTCGACAAATGTCGGGATAAATGTCATGGTCCGCCCCTTTCGTTACTTCTGTCTTTCTCGCTAGCTGCGGCTTCAAGAGCGTGTAGCTTGGAAGCGTCGTTGCTGAGCAGCCGATTGTACGCGCGGCGTGGAAGATTGCAGGGTGTAGGAGGTTTCTTCCATAGATTCGCATTGAAGGTGTACCTCAGATGATGCTACTGGGCAGCTCGTGAGTTTGAAACCTGCCACTTATTGTTCTCAAGCTGGGCAGAGCCTCTACTTTTGACAGACAGCGTTGGGCTTACGTGCGGGCGTCCACATGCGTGACAGATTAAGAGACTAGCAGAATCTTCGGGTTGTAGGATCGCAGAAGGCAGTCTAAACTCAAAGGCTCCACCCTGACCCTAATGGAAAGCACACTCAAGTGTGTGAGGCCCTTGCCGGCGAGGACTGCCAAAACGAGGTCGGCAGCTTGCACGTGCATGTCCATGATGACTTCGTGCCTGCCTAGAGCAATCGCTAGCCGAAAGGCTGTGAGCCGAAACAATGCGGAACCTACAGCCCTGCTCCTTGATTTACAAAGTTGTGACAAATATCATGGTGCTATTCTCCCCAGATAAAACTGATTGGAATCTGGCTATTCGGCAATCTTCCTCCCTTAGTGAGAGCTCTCCGCAGCTTTTCCTCAACCTGTCGGGGACCAGACATCAAGAGGAAATTGACGCGCAAGAAAATGTTGGGAACAACTTCCCTGTTGCTATGAGAAGCGTAAAACCGACCTGTGAATTCATTAGCCGAAAGAGTGACTGAATATTCCAAGATATTCCAAGGTCTATCTGCACAGGATGTCACACGGCTAGATTTCTATGTCAGCAAAACTGCTCGCTTCGGACTTCGAGCCTGTCATGTGTGCGTCAACTTATTAATGCTGTCAGGTTTGAAGGAAATGTTTCCGGAAGAGTGGCGCGAGCGGGATATGGATGTAACCATCTGTCAGGCATGGATGCTCTTTTACACGGACGAGCGCAGAGATGGACACACTGTCGGTCCACCAAATGGGCTCATCAAATGGGGTAGGATGCAGAACATGCGACTGCTGGGGCAGATGCGTTCTGCCCGAAGTATACGATGGCAGTTCTGATCCAGCGCGTTGTGCTTCTACATCCATGATGGCTCTGCGCTCGCCGAGGCTTCATTCTTCGGGTTCTCACTCGAAGCCCTACTGTGAATCCCAACCAGCGGTCACATGAGGCCAGGATACGCACTAGTATTGAAGCTATGGGTGCTTGAAAATCATCCCAAGATCCATGGTGCATGCTACGCGCATTAGCAGACTCAAGGAGGAATAGCAAAGTCTGACTTAGCGATCAACTGGAAGTAGGGCACCCGAGCGCCTGCCCCTGTCTGACCAGGAGCCCGCCAGTGCCGCCACCGCCGATCACCTCGAGGCGCTGCAAGGAGCTGCATCTGCAAGTGCCACTCTGCCACAGCAAGCTTGCTTCGCTTGCTTCGCTTGCTTGAGACTAACCGACTTTTAGACTTCCCTCGGTTCCTTCCCACTTGTGCTTAGACCCCTTCGCTTTGGCAGTGCTAGGGTGCTACAAGTAGCAACTCACAAGCAGGGCCCAGAACGCGAACTTTCTGACAGAACAGCAGCAGCTTCAGCCGTGAGTCACTGTAGGAAGGATACCGCTTGAAAGACAGTCACTCACAGAGACTTCGGGATTTAGCCGTGCATTTCGGAGTTTTGGCGGAAAGAAAGCTTTCAAGTCGGCAGCACCTCAAAAATACTTCATCTGGTAGATGCATTGATGCAGAACAAGATAGGGATTGCAAGGCGCCTCCCACTTCGGCATCTGGCCAAGTCGACGTCCGAACGCGGTTCACTATGCATTGCCTTGTGGCTGACTGCTGTTAAAAGTTGATAAAGTTGTGGCAGCTTGGCTTCCGTATCTTCCGTCTGTATTCAGTTCAAAGGTGCCTTCTTCGGGAAACAAAAATCTCTTTTGCTCACTAAATGCGCTTTGCCTCTGCATCGCTAACGCATACAAAGCTATCCGAGCATATTGTCAAGGACTGCATGAAGACATGCTTGAGGGATTGGCATCCAAATTTCCAATGTCCACTGCGGCAGTCTTGAAGTCTCAAAAGCTGAAGCTTGACTGTTTTGAACCTCGGGCTTGGAACGTCTGGGAGCGCTTTCATTGACTGAGGAGCCGCCACAGTCGGGCGGAACAGACCTATCCGCTACAAGTCAGAGCCTTTCTGCATGATGACTCCCTGCGTTTAATGCGTTACACGCTGGTTCACGAATGATAGATGGAGAGATCCATTGGCAGTGAGTTTCATCATAGCAGAAACGCGCGCGCACACTGCAGCTGCGTGCTTGCACCTGCAATCTGCGAATTGCCAGACTGGATGGTTTGGAATGATGCTCGACAGCTCCTACAGCTGCCGGTGAAACGGCCTAGGGTGCACACTCTTGCGTGCGTTCCCTGTTGAAGCTTTCGCATGCTAAGCCAGTCCACCTTTGTCGGCAGAGATAGCTCCAGCAGCTTTTCGCTGTACATTAACGACTATCGCTTCAGAGTCGCCTGCCACAATCGCTGGGATTCTACAGCTGCAGCCAATTTCTGTTCAAGTCCGGGGCACCTGAAATTTTGCGTCGGAGCCATTTTGCTCATCCTCCAGCCATTCTTTCCGTTCCCCATTCTCCCACCTCAAAGATGCACCCTTCAAACGAGAGCTCAACCCTCTTAAGCCATCAGAACGAATTTCGTTAGTAAGCTGAGGCCTGCACAAGGCCAACCGGTGGTTGCCTTGTGAATTACACAGGCGGCCGACGCCGTGCTGTCGGCCTGCATTCTTGAGAGTAGCTAGCTGTGATCCTTGTGAGTCTCAAAAGACGTCGTGCATTCACAACAAGTGCCTTTGCTCCAGTAGCCCTCGTACCGTCGGCCATCTGCCTTTGTTTTCCGTGCTCTGTGACATGAAGCAACTAAGTACAGGGCATGTGAAGATGCATGCAGCCGAGATCGCCGCCCACTTGAAGATGCCAAAGCCATCCTTCTGGTCACGGGCATATTGGCCCTGCCAGCGAGAAGGCTGCACACAAGAAGACCCGAACACCGCTGCTTTGGGATGCTGCCAACCTGGTAGCAGCGACCATCCGCCTAGAGTCTACAAACCCCCAAACATCGTGATGCCGACATCCAGGTGCATTCGGATGAAATCAGCTGGCAGCTTGTAACGCGGGCTGTTTGATTCCGAAGCTGATAGGGGTGAGACCATGCGTAGCTGGCCATATCAACAAGATGCCACCAGTCAAACGAGAGACGAGAGAGGAGAGCGCTCTTCACTCATCCCTGCTGTGCGTCGCGTCTACCGTGCTGGAATGCGTATGGACCGCGGGATGAAGTTGCCAAATCCATCACACGCGCAGCCTAGGCACGAATGCAAGGCAGGAGTATTTGTCTGGAGGCCATCTGGGAGGTCTGTACAACATGCACATCATGCACCAGCACATGGGCACCAAACCAGTCCACAAGCCCCTGTGCTTTTGGCCCATTGCTTTCAGATAGCAATCCTGCTGTCGAGTTGCAGTGGGCTCTGAAACTGTTCGCCAGTTTGCCGCTTGCATCGCCTCTTGCACCTCGCACAGTGGGCAGCTCTCGATGATGTGGCTTGGCTGCAGCTGTCCTATCTGAGAACCAGTTCAAAGAAGGACCGATTGCACGAGGCAGAAGGGTCCTCAAATTAGGGACGCGTTGGATGGCGTCCAGCTTCGAAGAGTTGATGAGTTAGCCCTGGCAAGGCTAACTCGAACTTTCCCTGACTAACGGCGGAACTGGAGAAGCGTGCACTGCAACCAATTGGCCTATGCAGTGTTCCGAGGAGCACCAGCTTTATAATTACAATGTGTGGCCAAACCAGCTGGCAGCAGAAGGGTGCAAAGGATCTTGCTCAGGTCAGGTTTGAAGGCTTGTTGGGTGTTTTGACCCAGCGCCATGGCCATCTCTGAACACGCCAGGTGATGGTTCGCAGATTGTGGAAGCACGTTCGCTTGGAAGATCGAAAGAAGCGTAAGTTGCCCGCAGTTGTCAGCTGACGGTCACCGACTTTCCATACTCATGCTCTTTCTTCTTGGTGCCAATCTCTTGACAGTCCTCTTTCAAGTGCCTCTCTCGGAACCCAAGAAGTTCAAGGTGATGAGACACGGAGCGAATAGCCAAGCCCGCCAAAACACAAAACACCCACCCCTCCGCTCATGCTCGACGCTGCGCATCTAAAGGCCTTGCTTGCTCTTCAGCACATGGAGGTTTCCCTAAATTACTGTTCTCAAAATGGGGGAAACTTATACAGGGCCCCGTATTATAATAGGAACCCAAATANNGACCCCGTATTGACAGTAATTTAGAACATGCCGCAAACCGTGCACAGCACGAGCAAAATGTGCAACGGCACTTTTTTGATACGGATGGGAAGTCGCCTGTAAAGGCGGGGGGTCCGCAGACGCCCCAGATCCCGGGGCCGGAGGGCGCATCTGCTCCCCGCCCTTCCCCCGCATCGCGCCGGCACCGGGAAAGGGAAAAGTGCAGTTAAACAGAGGCCAAATCAGCTGCTGCCCTGTGGACCGCGTACTCGAGGTCGTCCGCGGCCCAGGCGAGGATGTCAAGGACGGCCTCCAGGTTCGTGTCCGCCTGCGTCCAGCCATGGCATACTGCCAGGGTGCAGTCCGCCCTGGATATGGGGTCGGCGATGTTCGCGTTGGAGGTGACCCGGAAGAAGGTTGGCCGCCAAGATTGGCGGGCCGCCAGCGCCCAAAAGGCGGACAGGAGGCCGTTGACGGAGGCGTCACGCCCGTAGCCCTTGTTGAGGGCCCATTGGCCTGCGGCGTTGTCGATGAACGCCACCCAGTCCTCAGGGAGGTAGGCGGCCAGGGTCACAACCGCCAGGATCTGGGCAAGCACCTCGAGCATATAGATATACGCCCTGCGCGTGTCGAATTTCCGAATGAACCAGTCCGGTATGGACCCGGAATCATACCAGGTCATGTGGCCCACTCTGACGACGTAGCCCCACCCGTTGGACGCCCTGTGTGAGCGGTCCATCGGGGCATTGGCCGGCACCCATCGGCTTTGTGTCGAAGCTCGCCCTCCACAAACTAGGCGTCGGCGTAGATCACGCAGCTGACCGCCCTGGGGGCTACGAACGGTATGAACCTGGGGGGAACCTGTTGCAGTAGGGCTCTGGTTGCGAGCAGGGCCGCCCGCAAGCCAGGCGTGAGTCTTTCCTGTTGCCTGCATGGGCGCTCGCCCGGGCGTATACGGGCCCCAAGATCTTGGCGAGGCGTTTCGCTGTCGGCTCCAGGCTGGCGCCCTCTGCAGAGAAGGACACCTGGACCCCTTGCATCACGTGGGATCGCCCAGACTCCTAGGCTTTGGCGGAGGCCCATGAGTTGAAAGAAGTCGGCGAAGCCGCGGAGTCTGCGAGGTCATCCCCGTCCACGCCATTGAAGTCGTCCACGTAGTGGCCGCCCACGATGAAGAGGAGCGCCCGCGTGAGGAATTGAAGGGCGTCCCCTGCTCCGTTGAAGTTCCACACCGAGGCGGCCGCTCGAAGCACATCGCGAAGTGGAACCAAAGGGTTGGTCCAGAGGCGGTGTGGAGTATGGTGCCGCTGTGGGCTGGCACCTTGACCGGCCACTGTTTGCGTTCAGCAGGTCGTGGCCCCACACCCGGACCTTTTGGCAGAGCATGGCCGCCATGTTCACATAATCGCCCTGTGGTGGGTCGGCACGTCCGAGGCCATGATGGTGGCGTTGTGGTGGGAGCGCCTCCAGCCCTCGCCCCTTCGAAGGGGTGATCTCGCCCGCCTTGTTTTCTTGGATGATTGTGAAGGAGGTGCGACGAAGATGTCGCCATTGGAGGGTCGGGACGCATCGCCTTGGCCAGTTGGCCGGCGCTCTGCAAGGGCCGAGGACCCTGCCCAGGCAGTGGCAGTTCAGCCAGGAGCGTGGCTGGGCGTCGTCTCTCCCAGGCCACCCCAGCCTAGGTCTTACGCGCCCCAGCATGTCAAAGCCGTCTGTCAGGTCAGCGGTCATGCCCTCATGTCGGGGTACCGAGCTGGCCCAAAAAATAGAACATGAGGGCACCTGAGCGGGGGTGTTCTTGTCCGGGGCGCAGTACCCCCTGACTGCGGCTGCCTTTCGCCCAGCCAGGCGGTTGTGTGGTCTCGCCAGTCGTCTACCAGCTCGGCGATCAGCAGCACCTCCCTCCGTGTGGCAAGCCACTGCATTGTGGAGCATCTGCGCACGCCTGATGGGTGGGCGGGCGGGTGCCACCGAGGCTAGCACGAGGATGGTCAAGAGCCTGGCTGCTACACCCCAACGCCAGCCATTGCCTATGAGGCGGTCCTTGATGAAGGCGGGCGGGATGCACATCTCGCCCTCCGCGCTTGTCAGCATGGCCTCACAATTGTAATGCCAGGGCGCGCATTGACGTTTGTCCGCCAGCAGCGCTCTTGGCACGCGCCCTCGACTGGGCGGTGAAAGCTTGCTCCACACCAAGGCGACCCATCAGATGGGTTGGAGGTGAGGTCCAGCCGAAGTCGCCCGCACAGGCAAACACTGGCTGGGAGCCGAGCTTATGAGTGACAGTGTTCGCGTCCTGCGGCTTCATGAGCCAGGAAGGCGGTGAGCAGGATGATGTTGCTGCCTCTGGGCTCGGCCGCCTGGCTCGGCTGTTGCACGGAGGCCGTGGAGTTTCTCGCCCTTTTGGCGGTGGCCTAGCGCTTCTGGCCTTTGCCTGGGCGGTCGGTCTTCTTGGCGTTGCCCCAGGACTATTGTTGGCGGTTTGGTCCTGGCTCCAACTGGATTGGGCCCACGTCCAGTAGCCCCAATCCTCCTGGGAGTCGTTGCCGCCCGTGTTGTGGCGGTCGGCACCCTTCGTCTTGCCTGTCTTGCCTTTGCCGCCAGGCCGTTAAGCTCGCCCCCAGCCGCCCAGGTCCGGCGGCTGATGATCTTGTGGGAAATCTTTGGACTGTGGACTGGTTGCGCGCCTGCCATTGGCGGCGGGCCTCCAACCATGTGCACCAGAATTGCCTCACTCACTGCGGCGTCCGCCGTGTCTTTGGGCTTGTGTGTGGTGCCCGCGGGGTCGGTGTAGCCGGCCGCCCACGGTGTCACCACAGCCGCCTCGAACTTCTCGATCCGCGCCCATGAGGGCCAGGGTGGCGGCGCGGCTGATGTTGCGCGCCTTCAGGTACGCGTCAAGCTCCGGTCCGGCGCCCGATTGGGCGACGAGGTTGTCGCAGGGCGCCATGCCGGGGGTGGGCGACGGGAGGGCGCTCAGCGAAGCAAGCTGGGGGCGCCTTTCTGGTGATACGCCGGTGCTTGCGTATCAAACTGCTCCGCCATCTGGCTGACCGAGGCGGTCGCGCCAGTGGCGGTGGGCAAGACCGTGTCGTCTGCCGCCCTATCTTGGGCTATTTTGTTGGCCCCTGCGCGGGTCGCGCCCGGGGTGGGCGGCCCCTCGGGCTGTGGCACATCGGGCGGGTGTTCCACAGTGGTAGAAGTCGCCGCTGCAGACGAGGTAGGCGGTCCAGCCGTAGGCGGCGAAGTGGAAATAGTGCCGCCAGCGTCTGCAGCGTCATCGCCCGAGGTTTGGGCGGTGTCCCCCTGGCTCATGGACGCCAGGTAGGCTTCCAGTGCGGTAGTGCCGCCCGTAGTGGTCGGCCACACTGGCTCTTGCGTGGCGTGGCTCGCAGTGGGCGAAGCCATCGCCCCGATGAAGGTGTCGGCCAGGGAGACCGTGTCAATGTTGTTGACATTCGCCCCAAAAGGGGCGGTAACTTGGTTGGCCTCATTGTCCGCCGGGTCAAGGCGGAAGGCGTGGCTCGAACTGGCCTTAGCCGGGCCGCTGCCGCCCTCATCATCAGAGGGCAGTGGGGTGACGGTGCGCCCCACTGCTCGGCGGAGGCGCCTAAAAGGCTCCCGCCCCATGTAGGAGAGGGCTGCCAAGAGCGTCGCCTCATTCTCAGAGGCGAGGCGGCGCAGGGCAGCGGCCGCGGATGCAACATTGTCGGAGGCCGCCATAGCTCGAACTAAGGTGGTTGAAGGCTAGGGGCACAAAAATGCGGTTCGAGCACTCAAGCTGCGGTGTGTGCTCGAGTGCTCCATGTTCAAACGCACACAAGTGTGCTAACAGACAATCCCCACATCAAGTACGGAGGCCAGTTAAGTCATGCGGACCATGCGCTTCCACTGAAGCTACGGTGCGGCTTTTAAGAAGGGCACTGCACTGCGGCAACCGCAGCCAACAGCATCGACTGCAAGCTGCAAATCAGCGGGAGGGCCTGTCAGACAGTGTCTTCAGTGATAAGAATGACAGCCAGTATTGAGATGGAACTCTGTCTGCCTCCACAGTCACATGGGGTACTTCTGCTGCTTGCAGCGAGGATGTCGCAGGCTGTATGTGCAAGCGTGGGATCACCTTACTCAAGCAAAAGCAGATGCTGGGGCGGCTAAGACAGCGTCCGTCTGTGAACACATCTTATCACATCTTCATGGCAGGTGCCAAGTGGCAACCTTAAGCACGTCAGCTAAACGATGGCCGGCCAAAGCAAGCTGCCTTCTTGATACCTGCCGAACCTTGGCAACGTAAGCGTCCTTAGTCAAATGCAGTGGCAGTCTTCGCAGCATGTCACAGGTGACGCACAGCTTCAACAAAAAAGGGATGCCGCCAAGGCGTCAGAAACGTTTCCTGCAGCTCGGACACCCTGGTAAGCATCCTGAATTGCAAGACGATGAACTTCATCCACCCAACGCTTGAAGACCTGCCAGCTCAATGAAAGCATGGCCATCAGAGCTCTTGGCAACACGGCTCCAAATGACAAACCCACCTTCGTGCAATCCGATGGAACCAGGTAGCAGTCCATGTCTCCGGGAACGTATTCCTGTAGCACTGTAGCGGTCAAAGAGCCACGGGCGTGGTGCCTCCAATCTGAGCCCCAACCTCCAGACTGTTCTTGGGATACTCTCCTGAGAAGCCCCAGGGCAAGGTCTGAGCATGCAAAGTTCGGAGTGGTTGTCTCGTGATTCGCAACCAGTCTCCTGCAAGCTTGGAAGCGTTCAACTGCAGCTCCTCCTCAGTGAAGTCATCTGATGACTGGTACCCATTGTATCCCATTGTCAAGAGTACTTGGCAACCCAGGCACCATTTGCAAGGCAGTGAATGGCCACTCATCCAGATACAATCCTCCGGCCGCGTCCCAGAGTAAGTGCAGATTCGTCAGGGTGCTCCAGTTGGAGTGGATCCTGCGAGCTATTTGCACACATACGCGAACATGCTCAGAGAGGACGGGTAGCCTGCATTGCAAGCGTGCGCCTGATGAGGTTGCCACCACGATCTCCAGCAACATGCCCAAATCGCGTATCATCAAAAATGCCTTGTGCAGCATGGAGCGGCTGGTGTACATCTCCAACGATGTGGATAGCCTCATTTCGGAAGATCCCTGAAAGCACAAAACGCTAGAGCCCCTGGAAAATGGTGTCAACACTGTGCCGCTGTAAGCTTGGGAAACGAAGCGCATCATGAGGTTCAGCGCGAACGCAGAGTGCGAAGCATAAAACGTTCCTCAAGGCTGGAAAGATGGCGAAGAACATGACGCACTGCTGCAAACAGTTTCAGGGCAACAGACTCAGACAGGGTGCGCATGGCCTGTGCCAAAGCCCAAACAGCAGATGGATTCTCAAATGCGCGGTCAAAGTTGTCGTCGCCAATTTGCAAGTGATCCTCAAAAACAGTGCGGATGCTCATCAAATGATGATGCTGATGATGGTGATGGTGGTGCTGACTGGTGGGCGAGCAACATTGAGAAACACTAGTCACTAGTCTGTCTCCGCAGCTGCGTGTCAGGGTTGAAGTCCAGATCGACAAAATGCCAAGAATTGAACCTGACACAACTGCCAAGCATCGACATAAGGCAGCGGCCGGGCACGGTCCTTCTCTGCAAATTGCTGCCAAGACACTCATTCAGGCCCGTGGCTGGCAAACCACGGCACAAAGGCGCGGAATCACTCCGAACGCATTTGATGTGATCGGGCCACACCGAACTGCTCACAAAGTCGGACATTCCAGGAAAGTCGGACTCCCATGTCGAAAGTAGCTTGTCCACTGCTTGTACTTCTGAGGGGCTCAAGTGCATTTTGGCAACTTCTGCCACCAGCATGTGCCCGGTATCGAACCATGACTCTGCTGCAGGCAACCCCAGCGTGAAGACAAGCACGATTGTTTTCATCTGGCAGGAGGCTCAACCAAGTTCCATCCGCGGCAACGTAAAGTATCCCGGCAGCTTGAGCTCTTTCAGTTCGGACTTCTTGCGTTCACAAAATCTTGCCATCTCTTAACATGCTTCTAAGTTCGTCGTGAAGTAGCTGAGCCTTTGCAGAACATAATGTTTCTGATGAAATGAATTGAGCTCCAGCTTCATAATACTTGATCATTGCAAGTGCGGTACAGCTGCAGAAAGCACCAACTCCATGCTGGTCTGCTCAAGGCTGGGATGCGTTGACACAGCCAAGTCAAAGCATCGGCAGGCTATTGAGCTGCCAACCCACTTGTATCGGCCACATCCGTTCATGGTTGAGGCCTGAGCACAGACACTCCGACAGAGCTCCATAGATCTCCTACAGTTTCTGTTACAGTGAAACAACAAATGGTTATATAGGGGTTATATTGAGCCGTAAAAAATAGGTGTATAAATTTAATTGAAATAAGGAAGCTTCCGCCCGCGAGCTTCCGCGGACCCTCCGCAAAACCTCCGCGAAGACTACTGGCAGGTTTTCCGACGCCGTGTTTCCGCGGGGCTTTTCCGCGGACGTTTCCGTCTAAGGCGCTTCGGCGGCCCTTCCGCGAAAGGGATGTCTAGTCTTCGGTGTTATCCGTCCGAGTACATTGAGCGCGAACTTATTTAAAAGGGTGGGGTTGGGGCTTGCCTTAAAGGGCTCACACCAAAGGCGGTCACTCGGAAATTTATTCAAAGGGTCTGCTGGGCTGGTTATTCAGGAATCAAACCAGAGTCGGTCACTTGGGAATTGGTACTGCGGCAAAGAAGGAGTGGCCAAGTAAGTACTCCCAAACCCATCCCGTAGCTTCCGCGGAGCTTCCGCGAAATCGCCCTCACTTCATTAATTCCAGGGACCCAATCGCGGGAAGGTATCTCCGTGGTGGCTCCCTTATGCCAAAACAGAAAACAACTCTAGTGAAAAAGTGCATGGGATTTACCAGCTGCGGCGTCTCCAGCGCCCTGCCCAGAATTCGTTAGGGCTTTGCAAGTACAAGGGGATCTTCATGTTAGGGTTTAGGGTTCTGGGGGGAGGCACATCACGGCTGAGTTTCTTCTGAAGTTACTAACCTTCCATCTCCGTAAGCTTTTGCTCGGGATTCGGCGGATTGAAAAAGGAGCTTCCGCAAGAGCTTCCGCAAGAGCTTCCGCAAGAGCTTCCGCAAGAGCTTCCGCAAGAGCTTCCGCAAGCGAAGTGCTTCCGCGAAAGCTTCCGCGATCTTCCGCGCGCACAATGGGAACCACTTTTCGGAACCTGTCGCCAGCCGATTTCCGACGTTATTGCCGAATCTAATTAACGTTGATCGAGCGCCTATTTTTTTGACTGCTCTTTTGGGGATATTGGGACAATGGACAAGAAAATGGAAACCTTACTATTTAAGGTTCAAGGTTTAGGGTTAACATCCAGCCGGGAATGGCGCCAACCATCTCCCTCTGTACTCGCGCTCATCGACACCGATGTAAATTCCTGGCACTTGGTGTTCTTTGTGTCTAGAGCCGACAAGCAACTGCTTGCCAGGAATGCCAAAGCCATCAATCATGTTCATGCACCACTGCCTCCGTGTTGGGGGATCGAGAACACAAGCTACAGAGATAGAGCAAAAGAAAGACCAATCTGAGATTTCCACCCTTGGTACTTTGACCCATCCGGCCACTGGTACTCCTGGCAAATTGGCTGCCACTGCTATGCGCAGAGAGGCGAAAGGGCTGTAGGCTGCACCCGCATCATGCGAGCCATAGTCTAAACTCCTAGTACCCCCCTTAATGATCCTTAGGGTTTGGGGTTTAGGGCTTCGGGTTTAGGGTCTAAACTCCTAGTATCCCCCTTAATACAGCCTATAGTACTCTACTCTATAACCCCTATATAACCCCCCTTTACAGGGTTTAGACTGTAGCTCATGTGTCAACATGTGCCAAAGCCACACCGCTGCCACTCTTCTTCCCTCGCGAGAACTCCCCAATGAAGCGGGATCTATCCGGCCACGACTCTGTGCCGAAGCCATCCTATTCGGTGCAAAGGCGACATCCAGATGAATTCTTAAGCAACACCTTCAACGAACACCTGCCTGGAGGTCATTCCGGAACTGGCCTGCCAGACTCAAGCGCTTCAAATGTGGTTGCCACGCCTCCTTCGTCAGAGGAGCCTTGGTAGACAGTGCCATTTTGGTGGACGTAGGTGCCGTATCCATGCGCCAAGTTGTCCCTGCCACGCTTGCATCCTATGATGTATCTGTCAGACCAACACCAGGACTCCACAGCATTCGGTTCTTTGCTCTAAGAACTGCTTGTACCGCACCTGGCAGACATGCTCTAAACTTTCAGGTCCGGGGACTGTACATGCCTGGCAAGTATGCCACCTTTTCAAGGCAAGCACACGCTTTAGACATCTGCCAGGAAAGTTGGACCGTGTCCAAATTGCTGCTTCAGCTTGCAAGTCACACAGGATTCAATCAATAAGGGCCAAATGCCAAATTTGTTCTGTCTGTGAAACTCGCGCAGAAGCAAAAGCTAAACAAGTACGAAGATACATGAACAGGGGCCAAAGCATCGCACTTTGTGCCCTGCTCTGTTTTGCAAAGCTGTTCGGCCTTCAAGTGTTGCATCCAGCGACTTGCTCAGATGAAGAGACTCGCAAGTGATTCCTGCGGCTTGCTCTTTGGCTCGAAAACTGTAGTGATCCCTTGCTTTGAGCACATTTTCACATTTTCTCGACTCAGCTGTCCATGCAATGTTGGATGTTGAAATTGGATTTTCGGTGCATTTTTGGACTCTGGGTTTCGACTTTTGGGCGTTGGGCCTATTTTGAATCTTGGGTTTTGGGTTTGTGGCTTATTTTGGATTTTGGGTTTTGGTCTTTGGGTTCTCGCGGCCATACGACCCGACCAGAGCACCGAACGGGCGCTACCAGAGCACACCACGGGCACACTTCATCGTCCGTCTCTATGAAGGACCAGCGGGGTCCCCCAGAGTTCCCCACCAGAGCACCGAAAGCCCCAAACCCGACCAAGGTCGTGAACTGCGTGGGTCGGGTGGGGAGAGATTAGTCAGTGAACGTGGTGGTGTGCGCGGAACGTGTCACACTCCCTCAAAACCCTACACCCCAAAAACACCACAAACCTCAAAAAACTCAAATCACTCTTAACCTTTAAAAAAAACTCAAACCATCCAAAAATGGACCCTAAACCCTCGCAAACCCTAAACCCTCGTAAACCCTAGACCCTGAAAATCCTAAACCTGAAATTTCTAAACCCTAGAGCCCACACCGAAAACCCTAAACCCTCAAAAATCTTAAACCCTTAAAGAACCTGATCCCTAAAAAGCTGGAACCCTAATTCCTCAAAACCCTAAACCCCGAACTAAAAAAAAAACACACCCCAAACCCTAAAAGCCTTGGTTCAAATCCTAAAAACCTTAAACCTTAAAACCCTAAACTTTAAACCCTCAAGCCCTAAAGACCATAAACCCTAAGCCCTGCAAAACTAAGCACTGAAAACCGTAAAATCTGGGAACCGCCTGTCCCTGGAGCAAGAATACAACCGGCTAGACTAGCGACCTTCAGCGAGAAATTGGGGTTCAGGGGCCGGTGTTTGGATCAGGTCGGAGCCTCCAAACCGCCCAACAGCGCCGTGCAGCGCCACGTGTTTTGACAGCTTGCAAGAATGATGCGATCAGGATTCTTCAGCTGGGAGTTTTCGCAACTAGGAGCTTCATGTTAGGAAGCACGCGTCCACTACGTAGGGCCTGGCAGGTCTCCAAAAGCCGCAACCCAACTCCAGGAGAATAAAAAAAATCGTCGGCAGATTACAAGTAAACATCCTCTAGACTCTAGAAGCCAGCCCTTTGCCCCAAAACCCCTGACCTTAAACCCTAAACGGTTCCCGCTGGAAGCACGCCGGGCGTTTTGCGCTACAACGCGCATGGCAGGCGTACCTACTCCTTCTTTTACTACAACAGCCATCGAGGCTACCACCCGCAGCCACCACGACTGCTACTACGACTACTTCCGCGGCCACTGCAGTATGACAACTGCTAAGACATGATGGGATTGCTACTCTACTACATCTACTCCAACTCGTGCTCCTACTCCTCCTTGTCCTGCTCTACTCCTCTTACTCCTCCTACTCCTACTGCTACTCCTTCTCCTACTCCCCGCTGCTGTCACTGCACCACTATCTGCTGCTGGTTCCACACGTAGCACCACCAGTAGCGCTACTGATGTTGCAAGCAATCCGAGTCCAACATTACCGCAGACCTACTTTGCAGGTGCAAGCTTCTGCTTGCGCGCGTTCCCTCGATACATGCTGCCTGAATGTACTCTGCTCATGGAATGTCTGTCCTCAGGCAGCTGGCGCTGGTCCCGCATGGGCCTCTGACATGGCATCAACGTAGGCCCCAACCTGTGCCAAGCCGAGCCCTTGCTATTTTGTCTTCTCCAACCCACAACCCTTGAGGAGCATACCGCATCTTCAATGAATCCCGCAGGCAGGGTCGCGGCCATGCCTACGAATATGTGACAGCAGGCTGTATGGGGGATAGCAAAACTGAGGGACGCGCCGTACATGCCGGCAGTAGACGTGAACTTTGACGGATCTTCGCGAGCCGTTTGCACCGACGCCTTGCATCAAGAATGTGTGGGCGCTCCCCTCAAAAAAAGGCAACTCCAAACCTCCAAATCAGCCAGGAATTGCCCAGCATTTTTGGCGGAGGGAAGAGTCCTTGGACAACAACCACTCTGCTTGATGTGTAATTCCAGACCCATGTCTTATCATGTCTGACCAAATAGATTCGAGATGGGCTGTAAGCATCTCGCACAGCAAGGTGAACGCAGGCAGGATTCTGGCCTGTGGCAGTGACAGGACGTGAAGTCCAAGGCTGCAGCACAGAACAATGCAACTGGTACCAAGGCAGCAGCACGTGGCTAGCTCCCAACCATACTTCCTGGGGCCATGGAGAATGCTCCTAGTGATGGCATTTGCAGGCTTGGGCCACGAACTGCTTCATGCAGTCAGCCACCGCATAGCAGCTGAAGCCTCGAGGCACTGACGCGGCTTACAAGGTTGTCTGTCAACGTCTCTGCAGTATTGGGCCTGCATCAGAGTTAGCATTGAAGGCTACCACGCACACCTGCCCAATTTCACTTTTACCACAATCCTTGATGAACCCCATCAAGTCGTACCAGATGGTCAGCGTGAGCCTCTGCTCGCCCGACCACATGAATCCCACGAATCTTCTTGATGCCTGAACGCAGCAATAGCAATGCCTCAAACGGTGCAGCTATTCTCGCGTCTTGGATGGCTTACAGCCCGAACCTTCAGCAATTTGCCTTGTAGCACCCACAATCTGGCGAGTGGTCTCCACATATCCCTCCACCCCAAACCTGACGCCAGGCATGCGCAAATTGAGACTTATGGCATAATCGCATCTCATGGGGCGCTGGCACATGGCGCATTTTCTCTGGAAGTTGCTTGTTAGCCAGCATGTACTGTGCAACTCCACAGCTATTGCTCTTCTTTTAGTCCTTTGCAGGAATGCATGGGAATGCTGTCCTGGGCTAGATTTAGGGGGCCCCTTAAATTCAAATTTGTGTGGCTGCATCAAGACTATATTTCGTAGGGATTATGGCCAAGAATGATGAAATATTCCCAGCAATAACCCATGGAAGGAGGAAACGGGCACACAAGACAAGCGCAACCACCGTCGAAAGCTGCTTGCTAAGCATCCTAACTAAATGGCAGTACCTCCCATTGTAGGTCACGTAGCGTCTGCTCGTGAGCAGCTTTTCACACTAGATGTCGCATCTGTGATGATGCAGGCGAAGTTTGCGGCCCCCCCTCCGGGCTTTGGGTTGTAGATCTGATGGCATACTGGCTTCTGGAGTACGTCTCAAGCATGGTAACACTTGGCCACCAAGCCCTGGTGAGCGGCTGAACTCCTCAGGTGGATCCTCAAGTGCCTGCAATCTAGGACTTCTTTCTGACCAGGCGCAACGTCCGTTCTATGCTCGCATTGCTTCCGATTGCTGAAGCGGTTTGGAGCGGCACTTCCACTGGCTTGACCTGGCCTCGCGCATTGTTGTTCTACGAAAGTGTTCATGTGAGACAGCTTTCATCTCTGCGCAGAAGTTGGGCACAAAATATCACGACGCCGCGACGGGGAGCTTCTGAACAAGAGAGAGGGACGCGAGCTTTGAAATTCTCAGTGACCTCAACAGGCCAGAAGGCAACGGTACACCCCGACTACACCCCTGGACGGCACTGCGGTGGTTCGCATGGCTGTGCCCTTCGTGGATTCTGGAGGTTTCCGATGTAGTGCAAAGCCATTGAATTTGCACGACTCTTCGCTCGCTTGACTGGCAGTTCTGGACCTGAATGCTCAAGCTGAGCGGATTGAGTGTGGATCGGTGCCCCAACACTTGACACAGCTTGTCCAGAATTGCCCTGGCAAGGGCTTGGCTCAAAGTGAGCGGTCTTTCCTTTTCCTGCCAAGCTCTGATGTTGCGGCTTAGCACAAATGACTTATTTTGCCACAGCACTTCCAGTAAGCCTTGGTCTTGGGTCACTTCACATGTTCCGGAAGTACTCCAAGCTGAGGGTCCCGGCCTGCACATGGCAGCCCATGTTGCTGCGACGGGGCCACCAGGTCGGGAGCCTGTCCTTACATCTTGACGCTTACCTTCCTTCAGCTCACTGAAGGCACTGGAGGCACTGAGCAACCAACATAGTGGGAGTTGCATATATACCCCCGGACCAGTCGGTCAGGTAGCAGTACATGTAGTGACCTTGACACAGCACTTTGAGCCCGGCACTGAGTCGCTCCGAGCCTGGGCGGAAGGCGCAGCTCCCTGTTCGAGAACATGACCTGGATGCAGGCTCTTTTTACGATTGGTCCGACAGTGCTGGTTCACTGGGGATGCTGCTACTGAGCTTCCTTTTGGAGCGAAACCATACTTGTGAGGATCGCATGAGATTGTTGTAACCTGGGGCGACAGCTGCCTGAAAACATTTGGAAGCGCAGAGTCCCGGCTCCGGACCCCTGGAACGCGGAAGTCAAATGGAGGAAGAGGATAGCCCGCCTGGCGGGAAGTCGCGCAAGCTACAACGGTACTTGAACGGACATGAGAAGTGAATCGGGCCACAGGCCTGCTTCATGAAAGGAACCAGGAACCCGCCCAAACAGCCTTTGGGAAAGTGCTACATGTCCGAGGCTGCATACGACTTACTTATGCAAAGCGGCAGTCCACGTGGAGGCCAATGTTGTACTTCAGCGCGATCTGCAACAAGGATGCACACAAAGCGTCTTGGGCAGCCTCTACGAGTAGAACCAATCTGCCACATGCATGGAGGCCAACTTTACAGCGACCTCTTCTGCTGGACCGAAACTTGAGCTGAATCAGTTGGCCCTGCCTCGCCCATGCTCTCAATGGGATCAACGGTCCCATGCGCATACTGGCAGCAGGACCCTGCCAAATGGACAGTCTCAACTGTGTGCCAGGTGTTTGGCACGTAGACTCAGCGGTCACAGGCCTACGATGGCGACAGTGTTGCCATCGATGAGCGATTCAAGGTGCTTCAGGTCCACGGCCATGTCCTTGTCAGTTCTGGCCTTCTTCACCTTCAGACTTGGCACACTGCATTGTACAAGGGAAGACTCATACTTCGAGAGCCGCACGTAAATCTTGAAGTACTTCCCTGCCTATCAGAAGCAAGAGGTCCATGAGTGCGGAGCCGTAGCACGCAAAATCATGCAGAGAACTGGCCTTGTCAAAGGCCGCGTGCGCCGTAGTGCACACTACGATGTTCGGCTCCTGTTCAGGATACTGAGCACCCCAAGAGCTTCCTGCGCTTCTGTCCACCGCTGGCGCACCCCAATGCCCTTCTGGGCAGCTCCCCAGTCACGGTATGCTTTCATGGCCATGAGGATGCTCCTCGAAGTTCTTCATGCAGGGGCACGCTTCTGATTTCCTTGCCGAGGCCCCAGCTCCGTCCCTCCAGTCGTGAAAGCTCCACCTTCGTCTGTTGACACAGGGTCCCAAGCACAAAGAACTTTAGCCTGTGCCGCAAAGCCGCATGCATCAGGGCCACCATTGTACAGGTTAACCACCATCTGCACAACCTAATTGATGAGTCTGCCCAGGCAGCTGCATTGAAGCGTTGCGTGTTGCAGCCTCGGCATCCATCTGCCGCAGCGACCTGACATCGTGTGCGCACACACACAGCGTGGCAGGTCAGAGTACCTAGAAACAATTAGCCAGCTGGACGGATGCAAGTCAGGATGCAGTGGGTTACAGAAAGCCCACTTCGAAAACACTTGGCCGATGAAGTCGTAATGCCTCCCAACTCAACGGATCTTTAAAGATCTGTGAACATACTCAATCACCAGGTACATCCAAGTACCAGACTCCTGGCCACCGTGATACACAGCACCTGTGATCTTGCCGGCAGTCCAGCGTTTGGTGTCCTTCAGTGTCTGGGAACCCTCCCGAACGCTGGATCTGTGCCAATCAGAAAATCGGGAGCTCACCAACTGCTTGCGCTGGTCGATGAGCTGGAGGATCTCCTGTTCAAAGCCCTCTTTACGCAGAGCAGCCACTCGGTCTGGAGTGAAGACTGTTGTGAGGCACGAACAGGTCTGCTGAAACTTGATTGCCATTAGCTGTCATTAGCTATGTCTGATGCAAATAGAACTGGCCACATGAAACGCATCCATGTCAAAGCGCGTAGCCCACATACACACACTTCACCCGCCTGATCCGCAATGCCCTTGCCAGGCAAATGTGTGCGTGGGTCAGTCAGATCCTGACTTCAGCGCCAGCGCATGAGCTGTGGAGATAATCAACTTGGCACGCGGAATTGAATGGTCCTCGGAAAACTTGGCCCGCATGTCGGCCATGGTCTTCTTCATTTCTTTCTGAAGCTTGGCCTGGACCTCCAAGAGCACAGAAGTCCAAGGGATCAAAGTTTTTTGAGCCAAGGATGCTGCCATGGGCAACTTCTTGAGGTGAGGTGTCACGAGGTCTCAGACGGACAGGCTCAGAGCTTTGTGCTCCATGAGGCTGACAGGGCTCCGGCGCAAGAAGTACGCCTTCAATCCCTCGTGCCTGTCACACAGCTTCTACGCCACAACCTTTGGCAAGAGCAGTTTCAATCATGAAGCGCCGCCTGTTGATCCATCTCAGACGAGCGAGAAGCTTTACCTGGCAATCGCACATGGTGGCGCAACTGTCTTGAAGGCTGAATCCAAGTAACTGCGGCAGCACTGCGACAAGCGCAAAAAGCACACTCGCACGGAGAATTTGATAGGGCCTCGGCGAAAATGTATGGAGCGGCGCAACGCAAAACTTCATTCAATTTCCCAAGTCGGGTCCATACTCTTTGCCGCGGAACCATGAATTCAAGGCCTGAGCATTGATGATTTGGTGGGCTTGGTGGGAACAATCCCAAATCCACAAGGGCAGAATGCTTCACTTAGCTGCTGGCATTTCTCAACGGACGCTCAATGGTCGATATCATGCTGAATACAGCTGGAATATGGGCTTGATCAAAGCTACTTCTAGAGTCATAGGAAGCGTAAGACAGGTACATACCTGTGGGCACTTGTCGGGTCAAAGAACTTGGACAAGCTTCAATGGCAGTCCGGAGACATTTGAGTGGGATGGGCTTCAGCCATCAGTAGGAGCAACCAAGCAAGACTTGTTTGGCGTTTCTGCATGCAGCATTGTACGCACAAACACACGGCCTCCACATGCCGATGTACCGATCTCCATCTCCATGAGCAAAACTGCCCATGCCAGTCCTAAAACATGATGCTGTTGGCCCGAATGCGCACAGCACGGGCATATCGGCTCATGTGCCATCTCAGCGCGGATCACCACATTGTTTTTCCACTCCCCAATGTACTCGGCACCTGCAATATCATCTACTTCCACGTCACGATGAAGAGTACAAGCAACCTGTCAATCTACTCAGAACTGCTTACACACAAATCGCGCTTAACTTGTGAGGCACCGTCTGGCCAGGTCTGCTTCCCCACACCATCTCGAGCGTTCCCGAGCCACTGCCTGATCTTCTTCATTTCTTACGACTCTGAGGCTGCAAGCGGCCAGCCCTGTATACCTCTCGCTTGTGACCCACTCTTCACCACTTTGACGGTTACTCCTATGAGCCCTCTGTCGTTCGAAATGTTCACCTTAAATCATGGAAAGCCGAAACCCCGCAAAGCGACAAAACCCTAAACATAACCCCAGTGAAGCCTCGGCCTCCCACTCGCCCCCATGCCCTCCCCCTCCACCCCCTCAGTCACCTTCCATCCCAATAAACCCCCCCAACCATGCGTTGCCCATCTGATTCCAGGCGTTGGTTGCCCCAGCAGTCCTAGACTGCCCCATGCATCAAACCCCACCATAGGCCTTTTCATGGGGCTAGGGCTCTTATGAGAAGGCCTACCACCAACCTCGAAAGGTTTGATGCATGGTTGGGGGGGCAGTGTGCCATGGCACCCCTCCAAACCCCCCATAGCACGCCCCCCCCAGAGAATGCGTTTTCGCCCCCGCACTAGGGCTCTTATGAAAAGCCTACCAACCTCTCAAAAACGGAAAGGTTTGAGGGGAGGGGTGGAGGGTTAACTATCCACGTACTGCCCATCAAACCCCCCCGCCCCCCTCCAGACCACCCCCACTCACCCATGCTCGTTTGCGGCAGGTGCTGGATGTGGATTTGTCCCGCCACGCGACTGTGCACGATAGTGCCACATCTCGAACAGGTGTGCCTGCACGTGATGTTCTTCTTCACATCCCGCCAGTGCTCTGACCGCAAGCGCTTACGCACTGCCGCCGCCCCGACTCCCTGTTGCTGGGGTCGGCTGCGTCTAGAGCTTTAGCTCTGTAAGGGGTGGCGCCGATGCCGCCGACCCCCCCTGCCGGTGCATCATCGGACCTCCATTTCGCCCCTCCGGACCCCCTTCCAAAACCACTCTGAAATTCACATGCACCAAAAGCGGATCCCCACGGCACGGAAGGCATCATGAGCACGGGCCGTTTTGAAAACTAGCCCCAAGGAAATCTAGATTACATGAGGGGCCATTGGGCGCATGGGAGGCCAAAAAAGGAGAAACGGACTCCCAATAATGCTGATGATGCTGGCCCCC